TTGGTCTAGGGCTCAGGGCCAAGCAATAAACCCTAAAGCCTAAACGCTAAACCGCAGGAGCCCTATTAACCCTATGAACCCTAAACCCTATGAACCCTAAACGCTATGAACCCTATAAGCCCCATGAACCCTAAACCCTATGAACCTTATAAACCCTCCGAATCTTCACTCGCACGAACCCTATGAACCCAGTAAACCCTGCGAACCCTATGGATCCTACGAACCCTGTAAACCCTATGCACCCTATGGACCCTTTGGACCCTATGACCCCTAAACCCTAAACCCTAAACCCCAAAACCCCTAAACCCTAAATATGGACCCTATGAACCCTGTGAACCTGCGAGTGGTTTAAGCCCGGCGCCTGATAGGAACCCACCGCGCCAGGCCCGACCAGGCTGGAGGCATCCGCGCCCAGGAACCAAAGAGCCAGAAGCAGCGAGCCCCTGTCTTTGGGCCCTAAACCCTAAAAGCCCCAAACCCTAAACCCCAAACCCGAAACTTAACCCTACACCCGAAACCGAAACCCTAAACCCTAAACCCTAAACCCTAAACCCTAAACCCTAAACCCTAAACCCTAAACCCTAAACCCTGTACAAGGCCTGCTTGAACAAGCCCCTCCTGGCGCAGGCCTCCACATGACAAGACCCTCTGGATGATGCATGTGGAGATCGTTTTGAACATCAAGCCTATGCCCTACTTGGAGGTTCATGGGTAGGTTTAAGTAGGGTTAGAAGTACCCTAAGCCCTAAACCCTAAACCCTAAACCCTAAAGAGGGTTATAAGCATAGTTGCCATACTTCTAACCCTACTTGTAAGTGCCCATGAACCTGCAAGGAACTCTCCCAAAAAACTGTGGGCTTGGTGGTTTAGGGTTTAGGGTTTAGGGTTTAGGGTTTCGGGTTTCGGGTTTAGGGCTCCGACGCTCAGACGCTCGCACACAGCAAGCAGGGTTTAGGGTTTAGGGCTATTTAGGGCCATTTAGGGTTTAGGGTTTAGGGTCGAAGGCTGTCTTGACCCCGAAGACCCCTCAGCGATGGGGGCTTTCAGGCGTCCGATACCTCGGTTGCCCAGTAACCCAGCGCACCTTTTTTTGCTTGGGTTCATAAGTACGGGAACCCAACCCCCCCCCCCCCCCCCCCCACCCAAAAAAAAGGGAATATGGGCACTACTGGGCATCCTAGATAAGCCCTGCAGCTGAAAATCCTGTTCTTCGCACCTGAACTCTTGCGCGGATCTACAGTAAAAATCCTTCGATATGCCGAGCTCTGACCCCTACATTGAGGCAAGGGATTTGGTATGTGGCCGATGGTGTGAGTCGTAGCCCTTGTTCTCCTAGAATCTCAGCCAAAACCCTTTACCCTACCTAGAGCACCACCAAGAAGAACACAAGCAGTGCAAAAGATAAAGTCGAGGTGTCAACATCCCCGAAGGTTTTTTTGTCACCCCTTATGCCCGAAACCCTAATCCCACCCTGAACCCTAACCCACCCTAAACCCTAAACCCTAAACCCTAAACCCTAAACCCTAAACCCCCACACACTGTTGAAAGCACCTCCGGTCGGTTCCAGGTCGACAGCATTTCATCAAGCGGGCATCCATCGCCAGAAAGGCGTGTGGGGTTTCCCTACGCCCTAAAATTGTAGTTCCTGTTGGGTGGCTAGGTGTTTTGAATATGTACTGTATGTATGGATGTGGAAAAATATGGTGCCTGCAACAAAGCCTCTATAGGTCGTACTGTTTTTTTGCTTTATCTCTCATCACCGAGAAACTGTTACTGCAGTCGTCAGGCAACAAGCTGTAGGCCCAACCAGAGTCGAACCCACTATAACACACATCATCAGCAATACCCTACCTCCTGGGGGTTTACGAAAATACCGGACCCCTGATATAGATCCCAAGTAGTAGGACTCCCTTATAGTAAGGACCCCAATAAGGTGCCCCAAACTTCGGAAACCCCCTCCTCTTCGTCTGCAACTGCATCCCCTCTCCTGACTCTCCTCACCTAACAGGCGTCATTTCGCATGACGTCGGGGTGCGCATGCGCTGTTTAAGCCGGCTCCCCTCGTGGTGATCCTTGTCTAGGTAGTGCATGAATCGCAGCAATGTAGTACTCGTTGCCTCTACACCCAGCGCTGATGCCCACCACTACTTGTACGGAGGTAAAAGTTAGGGTTGGGGCATGAAAGCGCTTGAGGAGTCTGGTTTCGGTTTCGGGGTTTAGGGTTCAGTGCAAAGGGGCTTCGGGTTAAGGGTTTAGGGTTGTTGGAACAGATGGAAACGGGATTCACTTGTCACTTCCTCGTAGGGTTGGTGTGGAGGGGGAGCGGAAGCCGCTAAGTACAGTATGGTATAGCTCAATCTGGCGGCGAACGCGACATTCAACAGGGCTCAAGAATCCCAACCCTCTCTCTCTCTCTCTCATAGGCGCTCGAAGTGTCAGGCCTGTCTGAAGAACAGCACCTGCCCTAGACCCATAAACTCTGAACCCCAAAACCTGAATGGACCTATCAAAGCTGAGCAGCTTTGTCTTGCAATGCTGGTAATGTTTGCTATGCCTATTCTGACCGGCCTTGATTGCCCTCCAGCAAATCTATTTTTCACTCTGGGCAAAGCTCAGAACGATGCCTCAGGCAGCGACGAGTGGGTTTGCCTCGAAGCATATGACACATCAAGGCAATGCTGAAGCCAAGGAACTGAAAGAATGGGGTCATATAACCCTAAATGGCTGTCATTCCGAAACCCAAACTCTAAACCCTTGTAATTAGGGTTCATTTGGTCCTCAAGGACCGCTGCAATTATGATTTGCGGACGGGGTGCATGGCGTCTCCGCATCAGCGGCTTGTCCAAGCCACATGCGCCGTCGCTCCGCAAGGCCTCGGTTTAGGATTTCTAGGGTTTAGGGTTTAGGGTTTAGGGTTTAGGGTTTAGGGTTTAGGGTCCTCACACGCCAGGCCTTCAATGCCGTCGGACATCTGCCACTGGTGGACCCCATAGCCCTTTGGCGTCCAGAGAAGTCCCAGCGCTTTTTGCTCGTCTTGGGCAGCATGAAGTCCAGGTCCTTTCCAGTAAGCGCTTCGCCGATTCGGGTCGCCGGGGGTGGGGCTCGGGTGCGGCTCCAAATGAGCCTTAAAAAGGGTTTATGCTTCATGTACGTTACTATAGGGCTTTTTTTATGTAGAGGGTATACGCCCCCCCCCCCCCCCCCATTTTAGGGCTTCTTTGGTCCGCAAGGCTGGTCCTTCAGCTGACGACGCACCTCACCTGGCATTTTCGCGCGGCCTTCGGCGGTGATGGAGGCGACGGACAAAAACCCTAAACGCTAAACCCTAAACGCTAAACGCTAAACCCTAAACCCTAAACCCTAAACCCTAAACCCTAAACCCTAAACCCTCTAACCGATCCACAGCCACGCGTTTGGGATGTTCCCCCGAATACTAACAGCCCGTACTGAGATTCTATTTCTGGGAGTACTATAATCCCTCCTCAGGACTGTTAGTATAAGGGGGTACATCTCAACAACCTGTGTTTAAACACCACGACTGGGAGTTTCATCATTTCTCCTTTGGAAGCCGGTGATTATGAGTGCAACCCCTCCACTCGGAGCTTACGTTTAAACAGGTCGAACGAAATGTTTGAACAGACGACTAGGGGGGCCGGGTGTTTAAACATGTGTGCTTACATGCTTTAGGAAGGGGAGCCCAAGCGAAAATGACCCACAGTCCGCACACCTCGGACTTAAGTGCCCGGATTCTCTGAAGCCAGGTGGATGTTTCGGAACCCCCAAACATGTCAAGCTCCTGCAGCCCTGTTTTTTATCATGAGGACTCGTTGATTTTTCACTTCCTTTACTTACTGGTTTTTCGTAGGGAATGAAGGAATTAAGCGCCCGATAGAATCACTCGAAGATAATTTTCGGAGGATATCAAGTACCTAGTTCCCTCATTCCCTACTAAACACCAGTAAGTCTAGGGTTTGAGGGGTCTGCGGGACGCCAAGGCGTGGCACCTTCGCAGCATCCTCGCCGCCACGTGACGAGCCAGCCACGGTGATCCTAAGCGAGTCTCAAATCCCTGCAATCCTTTTTCGGGGGCCAAAATGGAGCTTGAAACGATGGAATCGTCCATACACACTGGAGTACCATGCGCTGCCCCCCAAAACCCAAAACCCAAAGCCCTAAACCCCAAGCCCCAAGCCCCAAACCCCAAACCCTAAACCCTATGCCATCTGTGCAGCAGCTTTCTAGATGTGGGTGTGCAAGGCAGGGAAGACTTTCATTCTCAGATGCATTTGTACGATAGCGCGTGTTTGCTGCCCTAAACCCTAAACCCTGAAACCTAAACCCTAAACCAGGTTTACTATGGCTTCATTAAATTCTGGCGGAGAAGTTGCGAAGTAGTTCCTACAAGCAGACGTGCCGCTCTGTCCCGCTTGGCACCTGTAACTTGTGAGGCCCTTCTCTTTGCCCTCAGGTCCCATAGGAAGGGCTAGGGTTTAGGGTTTAGGGTTTAGGGTTTAGGGTTTGGGGTTTAGGGTTTAGGGTTTAGGTTTAGGGTTTAGGGGTTAAGGGTTAAGGGTGTTAGGGGGTAAGGGTTTAAGGGTTTAAAGGGTTTATAGGGTTTATAGGGTTTAAGGGTAGGGTTTGGGGCAGCGACAGCAGCAGGGTTGTTTCCAGAAGTTAGGATCCGGTGGGCCGCGGCGCCCAGTTTGCCCTTGCAGTGCTTGGCCCTATACCTACCTAGGGGGAACTAACGGTTAACCTTTGGGATTATAAGGGGATTCTATTACCCCAAAAAGGTTAAAGTTTACCTACTCTATAACCAAGTTACTATAAGGCCCAATACAGGGCAGCTGCAATGCTTTTTTGCCTAAACCCAAAACCCCAAAACCCAACACCCTAAACCCAAACCCTAGACCCTAAACCCTAAACCCCAAACCCTAAACCCCGATACAGGGCAGCTGCAATGCTTTTTGCCTCCCCGCAAAATAGCAAGCTCCTGGGCCTTAGGCCGTCGGAGGCTTCAGATCATGACGAGGCTTCGTCATCCTTTTGGCCTTGTGCAGCGTTTAGGGTTTGGGGTTTGGGGTTTAGGGTTTAGGGTTTATGGTTGCGGCTGTAGAGGTCTCAAAGGAGCCAAGTCCCACAGCTCAGTGGTACTCAAGACTCAAGGACTTAGGGTTTAGGTTTAAGATGTTCAGGGTCTAGGGTATCCCTGAAAATTGTAGGTCTGAAGCAGAAAAGCGGTAGAAGCCCTAAACACACCAAAGACCTAAAGGCCCAAAGCCCTAGACCCCCCCCCCCCAATATCCCAAGACGGGATTCGGACCCCTCAACCTGCAGCTCTTGTCCCCAAGCCCTGAACGCTTTCAGGGTTTAGGCTTTAAGGTTTCGGGTACACGCCGACCTGAAACCCAAAAAGACTTGACAGCCCAAGACTGACTCTGCGGGGGCCCTTTTGAAAAGTTTACGAAGTTGGAGGGGTTCATCGGCTAATGTGCGCGTTGGTGGGGGTGGGGGCCCATAGGTTTTGGGGTTTACGCAGGGTTTAGGGAATAGGGTTTAGGGTTCCCTAAACCCTAAACCCTGAACCCATAGATCAATAAGATTTGTTCCCAGTCATCCCAGTCTTGCGGCTACTCAAGTATGGGGGACCAGATGGAACCTAAAATTGGGGTCGTATCTTGGCTGACTTCTGAACCCCTTCTGAACCCCTCCTGAAAGTTTAACTTTAGGCTCCTTATTGTAGTTTCTACAAAAACCCAAAAGGTTAAAGTCCTAAGAGCCAGCCAGAAGAAAGCCAAGGTATACCCGATACTTCTCTAACCCGGTTTGAGCCGTAAACCCTTCCAAGGTTCATTTGGTCCTAAACCCTTTGTTTTGCCAGGGCCCTAAGCCCTAAGGAAGAAGTCCCGCCTGCAGCATCTTTGCAAACGCGCCGCCCGCCGACCGGAGTTCTCGCACGGTGCCTTTCTCGACGACGTGCCCTGCGTTGCGGGGTTGTAGGGTTTTTGTTCCCTAAACCCTATAAACCCTAAACGGCCCTAAACCCCAAACCCTAAACGTTTAAGGTTCAGGGTCGCACTCAGGGACTCAGGGTCTGTACCCGCTGACCCGCTGCACTCTGAAACTAAACAAATTTGGACCGGGCCAGGATATGCCCAGAAGGACGCGGTTTAGGGACCAGAACCTTTGGGTATTTCAGTTTACCGGTTCGGCGGAGTTGGGGGGGGGGGGGGGGTGGGGGGGGGGGGGGGGCGGGGGGGGGGCGGGGGGGGGGGGGGTGGGGGGGGGGGGGGGGGGGGGGGCGTCCTTGATGGAAAACGCAGATCTGCTCAAAGCCCAGGATTGTTTCCTTGGCCCACGAGGAAGCGTCTGAACCACCATTCCACCAGAAGAGTCGCCGCAACGCCCTAAACCTCAATTCTCCTGTGCTCGCCTGAACCTGAACCTGACAAGCATTACATCCCAAGCTCCGTAAAGTGCATGCTGGCTCACATGTGCGTAAGGAGGTTTACCACGTACGGCCAACCCTGAAAACCCAATAAACCCTAAACCCGATAAGCCCTAAACCCTATAAAACCCTAAACCCTCAACCCTAGAAACCCTAAACCCTATAAAACCCTAGAAACCCTAAACCCTATAAACAACCCTAAACCCTATAAACCCTAAACCCTATAAAGCCCAACAAACCCTAAAAGCCCAGAACCCCGAGCTTGAGGATGGTCAATGCCCATTTCGCACGCCGAAGCTGTTGTGCAGAGCTGCACAATACAAACCGCTGTGCTGCATCTGGAATCGGTTTCGCATTTACCAAGCGCAAGGCTTGCGCCACTTGCTGCGACCTCATCGCGGCATGGCAGTTGCGACTCTGCGCTGCCATCTTCCCTTTCCGAAAGCCGAGCGCTCCACGTTCCGGAGCCGCTCGCCGTCCTCCGTAGCCTCCGAATGGCGGAGCTGGCCAGTCGCACACTGTGAGGCTTCCGAGGTTCCCTGCACCTTCTTCTGGCCATCATCAGAAGCCATCGCCACATTTCGTGCCTTCATGGGCAAGGTCAGAAGAGAAACACCCTCCCCTTTTAGGGTGTTGGGTTTACATAGTTTCTGCAGCACCATCTCCAAAGAGCATAGTTTAGGGTTTAGGGTTTAGGGTTTACATAGGGCTGAAACCCTAGACCCTAAAAGCTCTATCTTGTGAAGGGAGGTGGCTTCAAGAGGGGTAGAGAGGGGTAGCCCCAGGTTTAGATTCCCTAAGGTTGGTTTTTTAGGTACCTACCCCCGCATGAACCCCCCACCCCCCTCCCTTAAGGACGGAGGCCTAGAGGCCTACCGCCCAAAGCCCCCAGTGGGGAAGAGCCTGAACCCTAAACCCTAAACCCTAAACCCCAAGCCCTGAACCCTAAACCCTAAACCCTAAACCCTAAACCCTAAACCCTAAACCCTAAACCCTGCACCCCTTTGTAAGGCCGAAAACTGCATGCTGCCCTCCCAAAACCAATCAACCTTTAGAGGTTTGGGCTCCCCGAAACAACGCCTAACATTCATGGCTTCGGGCTTTTGGGATTTGGGCTTTAAGGCTTAGGGGTAGGGTTTAGGGGTTTAGGGGATGATTTGGGCTTTAAGGTTTAGGGGTAGGGTTTAGGGGTTTAGGGGTTTTGTATATATATATATATATAGGGGGTTGAGGTTTAGGGTTTAGGGTTTACTCGGCGCTGTCTCTTAGGGTTTAGGGTTTGGGGTCTAGGGTTCCAAACCAAGCAGTATCGAAAACCACAATCTGGGTCAGCTGCAAGATGATGTGCCACGGCAATGATCGTGGTCCTGGTGGGGATCACAGATTTAGCTAAACCCTAAACCCTAAACCCTAAACCCTCAACCCTAAACCCTAAACCCTAAACCCTCAACCCTAAACCCTAAACCCATCATTCACGCATCCGATTCAAGCTTCAGGCGTCCGAAGGTCCCGGCATCGCCTACAAAGCATGTCCAAACAAGCCCCCCAAACGCCCTCTAAACCCTGTAAGTCCTTGCAAGCCCTTCAACCCTCAACAAAAAGCCCTAAACCCTAAACCCTAAACCCTAAACCGCCTGGGGAAGTCGCGGAAGATGCTCTTCTGCACTGCCTCCTGGGTGACCGGGTCCAGAGCCGATGTGCACTCCTGGCAGTCGCTCCAGCAAAACATTAGGTTTAGGGTTCGGGGTTTAGGGTTTAGGGTTTGGGGTTTAGGGTTTGGGGTTTAGGGCTTGGGTTTAGGGGTTTTCCGAAGATAGGGACTATCTACATATATGGCATATGTATTTAGGTAGTTTGTTTTTTGAGGGGTGGTATGTCAGTGGAGTGGGTCCCCTGTTTTGGGATGAGGTCGAGGGCCGTTTAGGATTCAGAGCTTTGGGGGATTCGGTTTTTTTTTGGGGGGGGAAGGTACAGGACATCTCCCCAGTTGGTTAGGGCTCGGAGCGGTTTAGGTGTTTACGGGGGGAGTGCACAATCCAAAGAGCCCCCTAGAGATCGCAAGGGATGTTGGGTTTGGGGAGTAGCCCTAAACCCTAAACCCTAAACCCTAAACCCCAAACCCTAAGTAGGGTTTCGGGGACATGTGCAGGCAAGACACATCCAGGAGAAGGACCGGCGGCTGGCGAATCACCATGCCTGGGTCGATCTTGAATTGGAGGGTGAAAGAACAGAGTATCTAGGGTTTAGGGTTTAGGGCTAAGGGTTTAGGGCTCAGGGTTTAGGGTTTAGGGTTTAGGAACCTTCTGAACAATGTTCCAAATTCAGGCATATGATTCTACATACGATCCTCCTACATCCAAGAAGGGAGAACAGAACATATCCCGAGACCCACCTAAGTATCCAATGTAGTCGCATGACTTCCACCGTATCCAGATATGATCCGGGTACCCTTTTTGGCGTTAGTTACGTTTGTAAGGGAGCCCAGACTTGCCAGAACCCCTAAACCCTAAACCCTAAACCCTAAACCCTAAACCCTAAACCCTAAACCTAAAACCCTAAACCCTAAACCCTAAACCCCAAAAGGGCACCACCCAGCTGCCAAGGTAAGGAGCTGGCTTGAACTTTGAACTTTACAGCTCTCATCAGAACGACTTGGGTTTAGGGTTTAGGGCTTGGGGTTTGGGTTTAGGGTTTAGGGCTTTGGGGTCCATTCAAGGTTGTGCAGGGCGAGTGACCAGAGAAAGATTGAACGTTGGAAGACTAAGATCATCGTTCCTTTCCACCCAACATGGGGCATTATGACATATCCCAAAAGCAGCTGAACCCTGAACCCTAAACCGCATGGGCCGACCGAATACAGGTGCCTTCTCGACTACCAACCACATCCAGGAAAACAATTACATCATAAACCACCCAACATAAACCTATTCCTCATAAGCCCTAGCCCTAAACCCTGAACCTGAACCCTAAACCCTAAACCCTGGGCCGATAAACCTAAACCCTTAAACCTAAACCCTGAACCGCAAAGTTCGAGGGATCATGTTGAAGCCTAACCGAGCCTGGAGGGGCATCATCAGCCTATATTTGGCAAGGCAGAGCTCCTTCTCTACGGGGTTTAATTAGGGTTTAGGGTTTAGGGTTTAGGGTTTAGGGTTTAGGGTTTAGGGTTTAGGGTTTAGGGTTTAGGGTTTAGGGTTTTGGGCTGAGGGCTTTGAGGGTACAAGGTAGAGGTCGCAGGGCTTAGGGGTCTCAATCCAGGATTCTTTCCCTGTCAAGACCTTCGTCTCCAGCTTCCCAGGGTAACAAAACGGGTATCTTCGGGATCATACAGTGATTCACCTCCCCGAAACATCCTACAGAAAGCTTACCTACTCAGTTGCTGAGAAGCTGCGAGCCAGGCTGATGAGTTGCTTCTGGCCGAAGCTGATGTTGCTGCCATCTCTGTCGACATGGGTATGGATGCCGTCCTGGCATGAAAGTCGGCGTCAGGAATTCGGAGTTTTTTGCCACCCGGTTTTTGGGTTTAGGGTCCCTATCAGCCCTGTAAACCCAAGCCCTAACCCGCTGTTGCATGCCAAGCTTCTGGCAAGGTGCGGATGAAGGGCATCAGCTGCACACTCTGCACTGCCTGTCCGGTCTCGGGTTTAGGGCTTCAGACTTGAGACCCCTAAACCCTGAAGGTTTAGGGTTTAGGGTTCAGGGTTTAGGGTGAACCCTGAAGCCTGAACCCTAAACCCGAAACCCTTTTGCAGCAGGCTTGCAGAATGTCCTCGCCTGGATGGAGCCGTCATCCCAACATCTCGTGTGTCGGGCAATCTAAACCCTAAACCCTAAACCCTGAACCGTGAACCCTAAACCCCAAACCCTTAACCCTTAGCCGCTTTTGGTGTGAAGCCTCCCAAATGCGGGCATCTGGGAACTCATCGAATGGATCGAGGTTAAAGCGGATGGTGCCCTCGAAAATCGTGGGATCCTGGCAAGTCTTAGATGCCGGGTTTAGGGTTTAGGGTTTTAGGTTTTGGGGTTTAGGGTTTGCGGACTCTGAGCCCGAAGCAAGCTACGTGATCTGAAGCATGTGGCTTCATGCTAGGAAGGTCTCTCTTAGGGTACCCCATCACCGTCATCATCCCCTTATGATGTCTATTTGATCATAGAACAACTCCCAAAGAGTCCAATAACCCGTACTTAAGGAATATACCTTAACTCATGTTCAGGTCCCCTACTATGGTTTAAGGTATATTCCTTAATTAAGGGGTGTTGAACCCTAAACCCTAAACCTTGGTCCTGAGGTACCAGGCCTACGATACGGCGCAGGGCGCGAAGCCCGAGCTTGGCGTTGTCTCGGCCTGCTGCGGCATAAGGGAATTCGGTTCCCAGAATTATATTTATATTCATATGTATATATATATATATATTTATTTATTTATGTATTTAGCATTTAGTTATTTCTTTATTTACCCTTTAAGGGACTTTATGTATATACATATATATGTATGTATGTATACATATATATATATACGAATATATATATATATATATATATATGTATATATATATATATACTGTATACATATACCCTTTTAAGGGAGTTCTTAGGGTACCGCATTCCCTCATTCCCTACTAAGAACCAGGAAGAGGATTTTGAAATGTTGCTCTACACCCGCAAAGGGCGATCGCAGCGTAGGAGACGTCAAAGAGCCCCATACCCTTTAATTATGGAATATCCTTTAAATCATATCGGCGTCCCCATCATGATTTAGGGTTTGTTTTTTAATGAAGGCGGAGGCCTTTGAGGAGGGAATCAGAAGTTGGGGGGGGGGGGGGGGGGGGGGAAACGAGGGTCTCGATGGGAAGCGGAGCGGGTTTTTATTGTCAGTATTCCATACTAAGAATATATGAGGTGTTGGATGCAATCGTGTAACCTCGCCATGCGCGGCATCCATTTCAGAATATTAACCCATGTTTTTGCACCCGGGCTACAGTATGAACCCTAAACCCTCAACCACACAGTCGAAGCCGGAAGCCTCCATACAGCCTCATAAAATCACCCGCCAGGATTCTGAGCCCTTTTCTCAACCCCACCCCCCCCAAACCCTAAACCCTAAACCCTAAACCCTAAACCCTAAACCCCCCCAAAAAAACCTCGCGGCCTCCAATGATGATGCGTCCGCTTCGGGGCTCCAAGAAGCGTAGGATGCAGAGCCTGTGGATTCGATGGATTCGGTGGTGTTGTGAAGGGTGTTTTGCTGGATTCGCCTGAGCATCCCCTCCCCTCCTTGGTAAGCCCTAAAACCCTAAAACCCTAAACCCTAAACCCCCTAAGCCCTAAACCCTAAGCCCTAAACCCTAAACCCTTACAAGCTAGAACTCTCAAACGATGACCTCAGGACATTGAGGCCCCGAGCCCCAGGATGCCCCCCAAGAGCCTAGTCCTAGTCCAGTAGCCGGTTAGGGTTTAGGGTTAGGGTTTAGGGTTTAGGTTTAGGGTTTAGGGTTTGGGGTTTAAAGGGGGAATATGCTACCCCAAAAAAGGTTAAAGGTTACCTACTCTACTACTAGGGTTTAGCCCTTAGTTTGAGGGATATTACCAGATTCTAGTCGGGATCGTCAGACGGTTGAAGGCAGATTCCGTACTTCAGGGGGTTTAGGGTTTAGGGTTTAGGGTTTCGTCGCTTCTCGATTTGTTTAGGGTTTAGGGTTGAGGGTTTAGGGCTACACGCTCTCCGCGCCCGTCTGGGAGGGACTGAAAGAACTTCAGCAAAGAAACTCCTGCTGACCCTCTCAATTCTGACTTGCCGTTCCTTTTCTGATTTATTGGGGTCCTGGTATACTTTACTAGACCCAAGAGAAACCAAGGAATGGAAAAGGGTGCCTTTTTGGGTTTCAAGGGGCTGACAAGGGAACCTAACCAGCCGGACATGTCCCATCTAAAAAGGATACCTACGTATGATCCTCTGAAACCCAATAAGGGAATATGTAACACACCCTGAACCCTAAACCCTGAACGCTAATCCCTAAACCCAAATGTCTCAAGGGGCTATATATACCTCTGGTGTCTCAGGCCAAGCTGAGCCCAAGCATCAAGGCGGTCGACTTTCCGCAGCCGGTCTTCCCCACGAATGCGCACTTGGTACCTGGCTCTTCCCTCGTTTTATATATATATATACACACATATATATATATATATCCATATGTATTCTTTAACTATTTATTTATGTATTTATTTTTTTTATTTATCTATTTATTAGTTCATATATATATATATATATATATGTTTTATGCATTTATCTATTATTCTTAATTGTTGTGTTTGTCTCGTTTTTTTTTGGGGGGGGGGAGGGGTTGGGTTCAGGTTTATAAATGTGTGGTTTTTCGGGCTTAGGGTTTAAACGTTGATTTTTTGAGGGGGGGGGGTTAGGGTTGAGGGTCTCTGGCTCTGGCTCACAGGGCTGTGGGCTTCTTCATAAGGACTTGAACCCTAAACCCTAAAGCCCTAAACCCTAAACTCCCAAAAAAATGTGAGGGAGGGAACTACAGGATGAACGTGTAGCCCTACCGAGAGGCTTGCACCCTAACAGATGATTTGAGGTTTAGGTTTAAGGTTTGTTTGGGAGTTTAGTGTTTAGGGTTGAGTGGCCCTAAACCCAAACCTTAAACCTTTTGGGGCGCTGGGGGAAGGGGGGCGGTGGGGTGGTTGGGGGTTAGGGTGGTGGTGTTGGGGGCTCTGGGGGACTTGTTCTCTCAGGAGCCCAAAACCTTCTTCTCTGCAGTTGCGAAACCCCTCGTAGGATTCTTGATTTGGGCTCTTCAAGTGCTAGAAAACACACCCTTCCTAAAACCTAAACCCTAAACCCTAAACCCTAAACCAAACCCCAAACCCTAAACCCTAAACCTCAAACACTCTCAACAGCCCAAGCTCTGCCTGTCTGGGTGGGCAGCCTAAACTAACCCTAAACCCTAAACCCTGAACCCTAAACCTGCACCGCAGTGCGGAGATTCAAAACACTCAAACTTCCTAAACCCCAAAGCTACTAATATCTGCTTAAGCACCCTCACCCCTAAACAAAAAAGAAGAATTGTCTCCTTACAACAGGAATGTGGGATTTCATCATAGTTACTATTATTACTCTCTTGATTTATCTTTGTGTTTTTTTCTTCTTCTGGGGGGGGGGGTCCTTAAACAACTAGTAGACTAAGGGCCCATAGTACTAAACCCGAAACCCTAAACCTTTAAACCCTGAACGCCAGCGCAAGCTGAGGCCGCCACGGGGTGGAATCGCGAGCGTCACCCCATGCAATACGCTCTTGGCTGTGGCATATCCTGCCCGAAGAACCAAGACCCCATTCAAGACCTTACGCGGTTTAGGGTTCCCGGGGTTGAGGGTTTAGGGCTTAGGGTGTTAGAATGCCCAGTGTTTAGGGTTTATAGTTTAGGGTGACCCAAGAGTAACCTAGGATCAAAAGGATGTATCTTTTGCTTCAAGGGGTTTACCAGGGAACCGCTGGGAATCCTAGCCATACCCCTCAATACCTTACGTGTGTGTGGGTGTCCTAATGTCTTTATGTTCCTTACAGAAAGGTCTCGGGCATGTGCACCCCAAACCCCAAAACCCCTTCACAGCAGCCAAGCTTCCAGCAGTGAGGTCTTCAATCTCCACCTTGAGCCCATCTTGAAACTCATTGTTCCACAGCTCCAACCAGATGACCTCAAAGGCATGTGGCTTCTCAGGGTTTAGGAAGGGTTTAGGGTTTAGGGTTTAGGGTTTAGGGTTTAGGGTTTAGGGTTTAGGGTTTAGGGTTTAGGGTTTAGGGTTTAGGGTTTAGGGTTTAGGGTTTAGGGTTTAGGGTTTAGGGTTTAGGGCTTGTGTCAAGCCCTCATATTGGCTTCGGGTTCCGGCATCTGGGGTCACACAAAAGCTTAGGAATTCACTAGTAATTGCTTAAGACCCCCCCCCCCCCAAAAAAAAATATATTCTTCCTTATAAATAAGGGTAATGTGGGGATAAGTAAAAATATTCTTTCCTTATAAGGGTAATAAGGGATTGTTACTTGTTATTCTTTGAGGGTTCTTAAGCAAATAGAAGTTCAGGGCTCTGATTCTTAGGCATCCGCCCTCGCACAAGGGCTCAACACCAACGCCAAGATTTAAGCCCCAAGGTTTAGGGTTTAGGGTTTAGGTTTTAGGGTTTAGGGCCCCAAGCCCCAAGCCCCAAGCCCCAAGCCCCAAGCCCCAAGCCCCATGCCCCATGCCCCAAGCCCCAAGCCCCAAGCCCCAAGCCCCAAGCTAAGCCGAACGGGTTGATAAGCCCCACATCCCAATGGTTCTGGGATCAAAGGCCCAGGAGGCCCTGATCCTTAAACGGTTTAGGGTTTAGGGTTTAGGGTTTAGGGTTTAGGGTTTAGGGTTTAGGGTTTAGGGTCTTGGGACCTAGCTCCACCGATGCCCGGATACAGGTCGCGTTGATTGAGGGGTGTTTGGGGAAGTGCAGGTTAAGGGCTTACAGTTTTGGGTTTAGGGTTTAGGCCCTTAAGCTCTTAACCCCGCTCTCTCTCTTTGAACCCGACATGAAGCCTTTAAGGCCCCAAGCCTTTAAAACCTATCACGAA